GTTTCTTCTACCAGGTAAGAAACGTCCACTTCACTTTCAATCCACTTTGAAGATTCGCATTAGGATGAAAATTTGAACTTATCAGAGAACTTCCAAAAGTGGCTTCTTCTCCAACTCCAGTTTCTACCTGTGACCTCTCCAGTCCCAGGTGACTACCCAGGTGTGTACCCTCCCTGAGTGGCATCTGCATCATTGCTGTCCTTTACTCCAGGGAATTCCCATCCATTTCTCTAGATGGCTTTCTCATGCATGTGTTCCGATCCTTTCCAATCTCACTGCCAGGGCTGGGGCCTCCAGCTAAGCCTCCTAGCTGGCCTCCCCTGCAACAGTCATTTATTTCTTCATTGAATTCATTCAACCATAACTAGTTGAATAATTTTTCTCTAAAGGTAGTTTGTATCAGTTCATTTATCTTCACCCATCCCTAAGCTGGTCTAGAATCCACTTCCTGGCATCCAGAACACTCCAAAATCAGAACATAATTCAGGATGGTTTGAATCCATTCTTATTTTCCTATGCTCTTCAAAAGTGACCCTTTGCTCTATCAGGCACAACCACAGTTACTTCTGCCTCTGGGCCTTTGCACAGACTTCTCTCCATCATTAGTGTTTTGAAATAACCAGTAACCATTGCTGTTGCGTGAATTCTGCCTCATGGAGACCTGATGTGTGTTAGAATATGCACCATAGAGCCTTCAATAGCTGATTTTTTTTTTTTTTTTTCAAAAGCAGATCCCCAGGACTTTTTTCCCAAGATGTTGCTTTATTGTCTCAAATATCTCTTCCAAAAGTGCTAACTCCTATTCCGTGGCATCCTTCCACCTACCTTCAAGAATATTTGCTGTTGTTGTTAAGTGCCGTCGAGTCTATCTTGACCCATAGTGAACCTGTATAGGGTTTCCAAGTAGCAACTGGTGAGCTTGAACTGCTGACATTGCAGTTCAAACTACTTTGCAGTCAGACACATTAGCCCACAGTGCCACACCAGGATTCCCTCAAGGATACAGACAATAGATATAAAATACCGACCCTCTGTCATGAATATTCCAATCCAGCCCCTGTGATCAAGTTGATTCTGACTCATATTGGCCCAACACAACAGAGTAGAACCGCTCCATACTATTTCTAAGATTGTAAATGTTAACGGAAGTAGAAAGCCATATCTTTCTCCTGCAGAAATGCTGAGTTTGAAATGCTGACCTTTTAGTTGGCAGCTGAGCATTTTAGCCACTGCACCACCAGAGAAAATAAGGAGCTCTGGCAGCATAGTGGTTACGAATTGGGCTGCTAACCTCAGGGCCAGCAGTTCGAATTACCAGCTGTTCCGCAGGAGAAAGATGAGGCTTTCTGCTCCTGTAAAGATTTACAGCCTCGGAAACCCTATACAGGGTTGCTATGAGTCAGAATCAACTCCACGGCACATAACAACAACACCCACCACCAGAGGTAATAGGGATATATTGTTGTTGTTGTTAATGCTATAGGTTAATGCTATGAATTTTGTCAATTAAATCAATTGGTTTTGCTTTTTAGCATAGAAAACCTATATAGGTTTTGCTATGGGTCAGAACTGACTCGATGGCACTTAACAACATTCAGACATGTATATATATATTATTTAGTCTTCTCAACTATCCTGTAAGATAAGGTGTTATCTTTTTAAATGTCCCAGTGAGGCTAAGAAATGGTCCAAGGTCATTTAGGAAGTTCATGGTGGACTGAGGATGCAAATGAGTGTTGATCTTACCCTTAAAGATGATTCTAAGAATTGGTGTGGAGCCTTAGAACGAAATCCCTAACCTGATTTTCTTTCACTTAGAACCTTTGGTGTATCTTCTTCTCTCATTACTGCTCTAGAAAGGAAGATGTATGTGCTTGTGAAAACAACCAAACAGTCCATGTGGAACTCAGCTGTCATACCGCACAGAACAGACTCCTCAGTATGGAATTCCATTAAACACAACATTCCCATGGCTGTTCTTCACTTCATAGAGAGTGATGTTCTGAACTGCAAATTATATACAGGGAATCTGGGACTTAAAGCCAGAGCCTGTCTCTGGCTATTTTCTTACTTCAGTGATTCTGTAAATATACCAAGGCCAATCCATCTTCTGCAGATGATGGGACAACTCATTAACACTTCAAAAGGACTCCAGAGCATAATAAATGGAAAACATGTTTTCTTAGTGATTTATCATCACCAAGATTGTTTTTAATTATGCCTGGAAAAATTCTGAAATGTCTGCTTCCTAGTCTTGGTAGTGGTTTCCTCTCCGAGTGCTAGCCCCTCACAATGTCCCCACTGGCCACCAACAGTGAGGCCGGGAGCACAGGAAGACTTTACTTTTGCAGCTGTGGGGTCACTGACTGCTCCACAGGAAGCTGGCATCCTGAGACCTAAAAGGTCTTGGCAAAAACTTGGACTGGAACTCATCCCCAGATAGTTTGCTTTAAAGATAAAGGTCTTCCAAGCCACCTGTGGGTGCATCTCTGGCCCTGTCAGGGGCTGTCAGAGATGGAGAAGAGATGATGGTACCTGTTTTAAAGCTCAGGCCACTTTAGGAGGAGGGTAGCAGGTGAGATGGGGACTCCACAAGGACAACAAAGGGGAGGAAAAGACTAGGAAAGGGTTTGGGGGAAGGAAAATGAGGAAAAGCTAAAGGAAAAATGAGTAGGGGGGAGATCTTCCAGACCTTAGCAAAATGTGGTCAGGTCCTCTTCCCAACAACACAATGCACAGTCCTCTAATAGGTAACTCAACCCTGACCCTTGAGCAAGCCTGTTCTCTGTAGCAACCGCGTGTCTCTTTTAGACCATTTGTTGTTGTTGTTGTTATTATGTGCCATGGAGTCGGTTCCGACTCATAGCGACCCCTATACAGGGTTTCCAAGGCTATAAATCTTTATGGGAGCAGAAAGCCTCATCTTTCTCCCGCAGAACAGCTAGTAGTTTCAAACTGCTGACCTTGCAGCTCGCAGCCCGATTCATAACCACTACGCTACCAGAGCTAAGACTGAATAAATCAAATCACAGTATCCTTGAAAATTATGAATTTTTTCATATTAAACTTAATGCTATAGATTAAGAAGTTTTGCTTCCAGACAATTGGTATAACTGTTAGGTAACAGACCCACAAGGACAGGAATGCATCCTATGAACTCATAGAGGCTCAGCTTTGACCCAGCCATGCACTCTTTTTATCTGTTCCCTCAATTACTGGGCTTGGCACTAGGTTTATAAATACGGAGAAGATTCAAGGGAATTCAAGTCTACTGGGGATACAAACAGGAAGAAAAATAAACACAACCCATGAGGACAAATACTCTGAAATACAAATGTGTCAAAGGTCAATAGGAAACCAGGAAAAGCAGTCCCTAGCCAGTGGTTAAAAAGCTTGACTGTTAATTGAAGGATTAAAAGGTTCATTTTCACTCAGAGGTGCCTGGTGATCTAGAAATTACTATGAGTTGGAATTGACTCCATGGAAACTGGGTTTTATTATCTGGAGAAGTGCTGGGAGATCTTACACGCAACAGACCATCTGAATTGAGACATAAGAAGGTGTTGCCCAGACAAGCAAAGGAAACTGAGCACTGTGCAGACAGGTGGCTGGTGCATCGGCTATGTGAAAGAGACAGAAAGAGATCTGGTGGGAAGGGCATGTGGGGTTGGCTAGGATGTGAGCAGATGACTGAAGTTTTATCTTCAAGGCAATGGGAAGACAATAAAGGATTTTAAGGCTGGGAATTCAAGAATCAGATTGATTCCTTCGAACGGTTGCTGTGATGGAAATTGGAGGATGAAGTCTTAGAAAATTCAGCCTGTGGACAAACCATAATGCGTTGTTGTTGTCGTTAAGTACCGTCGAGTTGGTTCTGACTCATAGCGACCCTGTATAGGGTTTCCAAGGAGCAACTGATGAGTTTGAACCACTGACCTACTGTTTCAAACCAATCTTGTAGTCCAGAGCATTAACCCACAGCGCCATACCAGGACTCCTATGTGGGGTCCCACATTTGGGACTGGACAGCAAAGATAACTGATCAAGTGTTTATAGCTTTCCACCTGCCCCTTGTCCTCCAAAGGGAAGAGTCCTATATATTCCAGATCACTCCTTTGGAGTTTGGAGGGAAAACAGGAGTGGAAAACCACAGGTCTAGAGGCTAAGCTGGTAGACGGAGGATGCAAATGAGTAAAGCAACAAAGGTAAAAAACACAAGGCAAAAGAAAGTCTGCAGGCTTGAGAGTAGAGAAGCAGGTTTTGGATGGTGTAGGAGGACAGCTGAGAAGAGAGTCACAGGATCATCTGTGGGATGGGAGCAGAAAAGGGGATTGAATGAAATGTGTTGTTTTTGTTTCTAGGTGTCCTGCTGTGGCACTGTAGAATAAGCACTGGACCGCAAGGTCGGCTTGAACTGCAAGGTTGGCAGTTCAAACCAACCATTATCTCCTTGGAAATCGTATGCAGGGTTGCTATGAGTCAGAACTGACTCAATGGCACTTAACAACAACAACAATGTGTTTCTGGAGTCTTTGATGGTACAAATGGTTAACATGTCTGAGTGTTAACTGAAGAGTTTGTACATGCAAGTCTACCAGAGGTACCTCAGAAGAACAGTGTAAGAATCTGTATCTGAGAAATCAGCCATTGAAGCTTCTGTGGAACACAGTTCTACTTTAACACACATTGGATTGCTGTGAGTCGGAATTGATTCCACAGCAACTTTTTTTTTTTTAATTAATGTGTTGCTCATTTGTTTAACCTCATATGATAGAGAATAGAATCCTGGTGTGGTGCTGTAGAACAAACACTGGACTGCTAACCACCAGGTCGGCATTTCAAATCCACCACTGTAATTACTTTCAGTAATTGAACTGTATTTCTTGACCTCGATACTGTCTGGATACTGAATACTGTGGACTACAGTGTTCAGAAACTTAACAGCACATGTCATTTGATGGGACTTAATGGAAGAGATTGCCAAAAACAAGTTTACATACCTGCTCGTCTTTGTCTTAGAGGCTTTTCCACTGCTGGTTCTTGTCCATGGAACATCTGGAAGAACATTTTAAAGAATTTTCAATTCATGTTAGAGAAGACTTTTCATGCTCATGTTAATGTTGAACTGAGATCTATAGATTTGGGGTTAGCAGCCTGGTGCCCAAGGGATACAGACAAGCATCAAATGAATGGTAGGGAAATGAAACCAAGGCGCCTCTGTAATGTGATCTGAGAATTCGCTTTTTCATAGACCCGTCTCTAGATCCCAGAACAGAAGTAATCACTGCATCTGCCTTTCTCAGAGTTCCTATGGTTTGAGTTTTATCAAGAAAAATAAATGATGTGTTCTAAACTTATATTCTTTGCTTAATTCTTGAAGCTTGAGTCATCCCAATGACCTTTTAGACAAATCTCAGGACCTCTTCTCAGCATTTAGCCTGTACTATTTTCAATATTTCAGCAGCATTAGGGATGTTTAACCATTGTTCATACTTAGAAATTATTCTCTTTTGTCCTTTTTCTCTTAGATAATTCTATGACTTTTTTTTTTTTTTTTTGGTAAAGCAAAATCTATAGTCAAACTGCCTGGATACAAGGTTGTGCCACTATCTAGCTATGTGGTCTTAGGGAAGTTCCTTATCTTCTCTGAGTCTCAGTCGTGTCATCTGGAATATGGGAATAATAATAGTATTCATGTCATAGGGTTGTTATAAGAGTTAAGTGGGCTACCATAATGCTGCTGTTGTTGATAATGCTGTCGAGTCAGTTTCTACTCATAGTGACCCTCTACAGGGTTTTTGAGAACATCTGGTAGGTTTGAGCTGGTGATCTTGAGGTTAGCAGTCCAGTGTTTATCCTACATTGCCACACCAAGACTCAAGCTACAATATGTTGTTGTTGTTAAGTGCTGTCAAGTCAATTCCAACCCATAGTGTCCCTGTACAGAGTTTCCGAGGCTGTAAATCTTTACAGGAGCAGACCGCCTCATCTTTCTCCATGGAACCGCTGGTAGTTTTGAACTGCCGACCTTGAGGTTCGCAGTCCGATTCGTAACCACTACGCTACCAGAGCTCCTTAAGCTACAATATAGCACATCTTTAAGCAAACTCACTGCCATCAAGTTGATTCTGATTCATGAAAATCTTTATGGGAGCAGGCAGCTTCATCATCCACCCATGGAGCAGTTGGTGATTTTGAACTGCTGACCTTGCAGTTAGTCAACACCTAATTCACAATGCCACAAAGGGTCCTTAAAATATAGCATATAGTTAAGTCCCTAACAGTCCGTTTATAATAAATTCATCACCTTTCATTATGATGTTGGTGAAGAATATTGAATATATCATAGACTGCCAGAAGAATGAACAAATTGTTTTGGAAGAAGTACAGACAGAATGGTCCTTAAAAGCAAAGACAGCAACACTTCGTGCCATATGCTTGGGACTTGTTATGAGACAGAACCAGTTCCTGAAGAAGGACATCCTCCTTGGCAAAATAGAGGGTCAGCAAAAAAGAGAAGACCCTCAACAAGATGGATTGGTACAGTGCCTGTGCCAATGCACCCAAACAGGAAAACTATTGTGAGGATGGCACAGAACTGAGCAGTGATTTTTATATTGTACATAGTGTTGTTATGAGTTTAGCCCAATTCAATGGCATCTGACAACAACAATGTCTTAATAAGTGTTAGTTATTATCATTCAGTGATTAAGAACAAGGACTCTGAAGTCATTGAGTTCAAATTCCATCTATGCCAAGTTAACTACCCTCTCTGAGCCACAATTCTCACCTGGGATAAACATAGTTTACTTCGTGAGGTTGTTGTGAATATCAAAGGATTAATGAACGGAAACACTGAAAGTAGTTGAGGTATTGTTGTGGGTGAGACATAACGCTGTCCTGAGGCAGCATGCACATGGAACACTCCATCTGTACACTGGTGAATCTTTGTGAAATTTATCTTCTTTCAACATGTAACCCCTTTGTTTAAGAATAGACATAGATCCGCTTTGCTGGTAGGATCTCTACCAACTCCACAGCTTGTAGCTAAGCCTTCCCCTAAGCCTTAACTCAACAACTATTCCTCACTCATCCCTGAGTATAGGTTGGTTTGTCCTGATATAAATCCAGATCCAAATTCCTTTCAAGGCTTAATACAAGAATCCAGTCCTTAAAGGCATACGTATTGTCTGCCAAAATTTGCTAGTTATTTCACTTAATAACAATAGCAAAGATAAAAATGCCTAGTACTTATTCAACACTCTGTGTCAGGCATCATTCAGTACTTGTGTGTTTACTAAATTAAACTTCACAACTATTTCAGAGGTAGGACTACTATCCACATTTCCCTGGTGAGAAACCAGAGGCACAGAGAGGTTAAATAATTTGCCTAATGTCACACAGCCTTTAGATGACAAGAGCTAAGATTTAAAAGCAGCTACTCTGGCTCCGTAGTGGTTACGAATCGGGCTGCAAACCTTAAGGTCAGCGGTTCGAAACTACCAGCCGCTCCGCGGGAGAAAGATGAGGCTTTCTACTCCCGAAAAGATTTACACCCTCGGAAACCCTGTACAGGGTCGCTATGGGTCGGAACCGACTCGATGGCACTTAACAACAACAACAACAACTCTGGCTCCAGCGGAGTCCTGGTGTGGTGCTGTGGGTTAATGCGCCAAACTGCAAAGCTGTTTGAACTGCAAGGTCAGCAGTTCAAGCTCACCAGCTGCTCCTAGGAAACCCTATACAGGTTCGCTATGGGTCAGAACCAACTCAACGGCACTTCACAACAACAACAACAACTCTGGCTCCAAGTCCTGTGCATTGTCATAATCTTGTCAGGGGAGACTCTGACAAGGGTCTAAATGACCAAGCCTCTTTATTTAGCATGCTTACTCATTTCTCTCTTGTTTCCTACTACTCCTTTTCAATAATTAGTTTCCTTGGCTTTACTCCTCTGCTTCTGTACGAAATTGCATGTTTAGGAAAAACTTTGAAGTCATCCATGCACACTTCCATGTGATACAAGGGTTAACAAGCTTTGCTAACTAGAAGGTTGAAGGTTGGCATCTATTCAGAGGCACGTAGGAAGAAAGACATGGTGATCTACTTCTAAAAATCTCAGCCATTGAAAATCTTATGGAGTCCAACTCTACCCTGCAAAACATGAGGTTGCTGTGAGTTGGAATAGACTAGACAGCAACAAGTTCTGTTTTTTGTTTAGGACAAAGGGAAGGACTGTGTACCTGAGAGTTCTGACAGTTTTTAGAAGAAGTAAATAGAGATGACGGGTGATGATTGGAATTTCAAAACTTCAGTTGTTGCTTCATTCTCAATGAAGCTATTTTAGATTTACTGAAATGTGCAGGAACTGAGAGGAAGCAAAGGCAATGTATATGTCTGGTTCCTGCCTAGCTTCCTCGGGCGCTGCCTTTGGCTGTGAGCCCAGGCCAGCAGTTGGGCCTTCCGCTACATTCCTGCCTCCCATTTTCCCGAGGCCAGTCAAGCCTGGGGAAGCTTCCTCTGTTGATGGACTGTGGTTGGGGGCACTGAGTCAGCCCAGAAGAACTTGATCACTCATGATAGTCTCTGGGGTCAGTCTCCCAGGTCAAGATTTTATTCTCTGCCTTTTCCCATGGACTAGTGAACTGGGAAGTTGCTGCTATTAGTTGGATAGCAAAGTCTAGGTACATTTCAATGCTATATTGCAGAACATTTTGAATCTTTGTGAGCATAAGAAACACTTGCCAGCTCTCCCTGCTCCTTTCTCCCACCTGATTCAGCAGGTCCAGGGTAGGTTGCTGAAATCTCCCTTTATAACCTGCACATCCCTCATTGTAAGACCACCCTTTGAGAAACATGGCTTTGCCTATTTCCTGAATCCTGGGGGATCCTTTAGAACTTACCAGGATTTCTTTCAGAAGTGCTGTATCCATAACTCTGTCACCGCTTCCTCATTCTTTCTTGCTACCTATGACCTCTGTGTTGTCCAGGTAGGATTCTCATTTTTTTTGTGATAGTGATGTGAGGTGCTGACTCATGGCGACCCTGAGTCTGTATGAGGTTTCTGAGGCTGCAAACCTTTACGGGAGCAGAACACCTCATCTTTTACAAAAGCACAACCACTGGTAGTTTTGAACTGCTGACTTTGTGGTTAACAGCCCGACTTGTAATCCACTATGTCACCAGAGTTCCTTTTCATGACAGTTGTTGTTAAGTGCCATTGAGTCGGTTCTGACTCATAGCGACACTGTATAGGGCTTCCAAGGAGCAGCGGGTGAGTTTAAACTGCCAACCTTGCTGTTTAAACCAACCCTGGGGTCAAGCGCTTATCCTACAGTGCCAGAGCAGGACTCCTTCATGAGACTAGCTACTGTCTACTTTAAGAAGTGGCACATACATTAGAAAAACATGGGAAAACAGCATGTGAGTGACAATAATGTCTCTGGGGAATTGGGGTGGGTCCCAAGATTGAGGTGGGTTGACGAGAAGATACAAAGAATTGGGCTGTGAGGTCAGAGGACCTGGATTTGAACTGGCAAATACTGGCATCAAATATCAAGGACAGGATCCCACCACCTCAGCTTTTTCATCATTAGAAAGGTCATGCACTCATTCTAAGCCTTAGTTTCTTAAATTATGACAAATGATATATCCCACCTCTTGTACAGCCACCACTCACCTGCCAGTGAAGGTTTGCGTGCTGCTTTGATGCTGAACAAGGTTCAGCAGAACTTCCAGACTGAGATGGACTAGGAAGAAAGACCTGGCAATCATTGGTTCATAATGGTCCTATGGATCATAATGGTCCAACCCACAACTGATGGTGTCAATGGCACAGGACTGGATAGCATTTCTTTCCATTGTGCATGCGGTGGCTGTGAGCCTGGGCCGATTCCACGGCAGCTAGCAGCACGTGCCACCTTTTCAGCAATAGGTAGGATTGGCACATGCATGCATATCCAGCTGGCCCTGGAGATCTCCCCAGGCCAGTCCTGCCTTCTCAGTCCTCATGCTCACCCCAGTTTTGGAAACTGTAGAAATGGGACATTTGCCTTTTTTCTTAAGTGTTGGGTGCTGGGCAGTGTTGGTTCTTAAGTGTTGGGTGCTGGGCAATAAACAGGGTAAGCACAGGCCTACTTGTGCTGACTCACTTGCCTACCATGCTGATGGGTAATCCACCCCTGGTGCTGGGCAGAACTCATAAGGGAACATTGTTTCCACCAGAGGCCCACAGTGATCAGCCTTGCATGTACTTCAGGCAAGAAAACAGAGCTTCAGCAGGCCTGTCTCTGTTGTTCCATTTAGAGGCACCCAAATGAGTATTGGAATGACAATAGCCAGCTTGGAGGGAATTTCCTGATGGCCCAGCTTCAGGAGGAAGAGACAAGGTCATCAATTCCAGGAAACGCCCTGCCTGTTGACCATGATAACTTTACAAATAATCTATGTGGTGTGGGAGCTGAACAGGGGCGGAGAGGACAAGTCAGGAATGAAAGGTGGGTCTTAGCATGTGGAAAAGAAAATCCCCAGGAATCCAGATGACAAAGTCAGCAGTCACCAAGACCCCAGCTACTGCTGAGTCTCACTCCTCTCTCTTATTCTTGACCTGGAATCCCCATTTGGAACCCTCCATATCTTTGCCTCAGTGTTAGATAATTGGTTTAGTAAGGGTCCTGTTAGAATGTTTCCTCACATAAACATTTATTTCTAGTGTTGTTAAGCGCCATTGAGTCACTTGTGACTGATAGAGCCCCAGTATAGGGTTTCTGAGGAGCAGCTGGTGAGTTTGAACCAATGGCCTTACAGTTAACAGAATATAAAAAAATAACTGCCAATGATTAAGTACCTCCTCTGTGCTAGTTACTATATGTACTAAGGGTTCATGTATGAGATCCTTTAACTCTCACAATGAGCCAACAAAGTAGATGCTTTTATCTTCATTTTTTATAGAAGAAATGGATTCAGGAAGATGCAACTTAATCAAGGTTCTAAAGTTAGGGAAGGTCTGAGCCTGCCTTCAAGTTTCCTCCCTATGCTTCCTAACCCCACCCCATCTCTCCAACTGTCCACTCACTTCCTCTGTTGGAGAACCTGCAGTGGAGGGAGGTTTCTTTCTTAGAGGAAAATCGTATGAGATTGCAGGAACTGCCAACTATTGACAATGTCAAAGGTTCACTAAAGATAGTGTTTTTGTTTGAAGTTGGTAATCAGTGTGGTACTGCAGGATAAGCACTATGTGGCACTGCGGGTTAATGTGTTGGACTGCAAGGTTAGTATGAACCTCAAGGTCGGTGGTTCAAGCTCACTAGTCGCTCCTCAGAAACCCTAGACAGGGTTGCGATGAGTCAGACCTGATTGATGCCACTTAACAACAATAACTAATCACAATTTCAAGATTCAAACCCACCAGTTGCTCCTCAGAAACTCTATAGAGAGTAGATATGAGTTGAAACCAATTCAGTGACACTTAACAACAACTACAACAGATAATTAGTAAGCTTTTGAAAGTGTCTTTAGAATTTCACAAGAAATCTGTTCTCTGGGACTGGCATTCAGTCAGTCTGTCCCAATGGGCCCAGTACTGGTTTTGGATGACTGCACCCATGAGGTGGGCATTGATATTCTCCTGAGATACCTTGATCTGGAGGAAATATGTTTTGAATCCTCTTGCTTATGGTGTGTTGTTTTTTTTTGTTTTGGTTTGGTTTGGTTTACTTTATCCAAACAATCTGAGTTAGATACATTATAAAAATTCCAGAGTCAATACCTCTATAAAAAGGAATTTAACCCAGGCCTGATGCCAAAGGCTTCTGAAGATGGCTGCTGAGATTCTGCTACTCAAAGGGTGGGCCCTGGAGCAATAACAAAGGCAGCTAGACAGAGATATAACATCTCTGGCCCCACCCAGGTATCCACACTGAAGTCTGAGACTGCAGTGGTACATCTTTACACTTCAAAGGCAAATTATCACCCCATGTTGCATTTTAAATGGTATCTAAGTGGCAGCTCTTGGAGTTATAAAGTAAGGCACACTTAAGTGTCCCTCTGCATTGGGGTCCTGAGCTTCTGCTGTATGACCATACTATACCTTGAAGGCAAATCTAGGGAGAAAAAAAGGAGCCCTCTGGTGTGGGAGGTGCATGCTTCTGGAAAGATGAAGTTCACATTCCACCAGCAGCCGCTGGCCTTCCCACACTGCACCACAGATGCCACCAGGCAGATGGGAGCTCTCTTACAGGGCTCCCATCAGGGCAGAACTGGCACAGTGGGAAGGTAGTAATGCAACCCTGGGGACTGAGAAATGCTGCAACCCATGTAAAGATGCCCAGATGCTGAGATCATCCCTGCCCTGGCTTTCCTGTCACATTCTTGGATAATCAGAGCTCCACACTGGGCAAATGAGTTCACCGGAAGTGTAAACAGTTCCCGCCTCTATTTATGAGATCAGACTGTTGTATGCGACTGTACGGGTTGTACCCTCTGCAAGGGACTCTGGGAGAAGAGAAGAGGTACAAGCAGTGTACCCCAGAAAAGGGGTGCTTCTCAAGAGCACTTTTTCTTCATTGTCTCATTTGCCACTGGCACTCTTTATGGTCTGAAAGATTTAACAAGAAACCATACCCATCTTTGGCAAATCCACCCCTCAGCGTCTCCTCTGTATCAAACAACTTTTGGTAAGCATCAATGACATGCAAAAAGATTTTTGTGTCTGACACTAAAATAAATTTATTACAAACCAAAAAAGGGGCTTGGATTTTTAGGAAATTTCTGTTTTGGGGAAGTGTTACATTCATGAAGTGAGAGCAAGCAGTTTATGAAGAAACTGGCATCAGGAAATCATACATAAAACCCAAACCCAAATGGCAAAGTTAGGAGGTGTGGTAGAAGCAGTTAATAGCAGTGAATGGAGTAGAGAATGTCCCCCCAAAAAATATCCTCTCAGAGATGGAATGGCTGGAAACTTTAGACCCAGAGATGGAGAAGGGCTGTGTGCTGACGACTGGGAGCAGGCTTGCAGGGTATACCCTTTGGTTGGCTGATGATGCATGGAGGAGATTATAACCATGGCAATGAAACAATATACGATATGATGATTGTAAAACTAATGTTCTTCCATGTAAACTATCACATAATTCACAATAAACCATATATATATCCTCTCAGAATTCAGAGGAAAAGCATGGAATGACTAAAGTTATACCTTTTGAATTATAAACCAAAATATGAGCTATGTGAAACATGAAGCTAGGAAACTGCATCTATACAGAGTAGAAATCTAAGTTTTTAAAAGAAGGATAAGAACAAAACTCATAACTAATGAATAATAAAAAATTCAAGCAATCAGGTAAGAACACCTGATTCAGTATAGAAAGAATTTATTGTATATAATTCAAATTAATTTTAGGGCCTACATCTATGCATGCTCTGGTGAAAGTTTTGTATTTAAATAATAAATACAAAGTATAGTTAGTCCAGGAACAAAAGAAAAAAAAAAAACAGTTTACTTTCAAGGAAATAAAAATCAGAATGGCCTCATACTTTTTTGTCATAACCTACATATGACAGAAAAGAGGAAAGCAATGCCCACATAGTTTTGAGTTTTTCTGCACTCTATCCATGGCACTTAACAACAACAACCACGTCATATAAAAGGACTGCAAAAAGGGCAGCTTAGCATATGAGTGAGTTGAAAAAGCTGATAAGCCTGCTTTTCAAAATTTATTTGAAAACATGTTTGATTCTCTGAGAGATTAATCAAAGTAAGGAACTCAAGAATAGGAAGTAGTGATTATAAAACAGCTGGTAGTGAGTGTCTGAATTAAAGCATAAGCTGAAATGATTATTGAAAGATGGTAAACAAATGTTGCAACTGTAAAAAAATGCACCACCGAAGTTCTAGCAGTAGTGACAGATTGAAGAATATAGCACTGAGATAGCTAAAATCATAGGAGTAGAAACAATACCATTAGTGTGAGTCGGTAATAATGGCAAACACAGCAAACATTTCCTATATCCCAGGCACTGTCCTAAGACTCCTTGTACATAGTAACTAAACTCATTCTCACATCGTAGGAAATGAATATTATGATGATCATTGTTTGCACGTGAAGAAACTGAGACACAGAGAGAATTATCTTATCTCTCCAAGACCTTTCAACTAGTAACACATCCTATCTTTGGTGGATGGAGCAGTCAAAATTAGGAATAACATAATTTATTAAATTGGTTAATAAGTTACCAAGTTACCCCCATCCAGTTTACCAGCAAAAGTCCTAAACGGTGTGTATGATCCCTTCAGCTATATCAACCCATGATTTCGGCACATTCATGAAAGGGGCTCTGATAGCATAGTGGTTACAAGTCAGGCTGCAAACCGCAAGCTCAGCAGTTCAAAACTACCAGCTGTTCCATAGGAGAAAGATAAGGCTTTCTGCTCATGTATAACATTAGCCATCTCTTGATGTCTCTCTGGATTTCAAAGCATAGTAATTTATAGCTCAGTGAGCATAGTAACGCCCCTTTATGTTCATCCTTCTTTCCTACTTCCTAACCCCATCACTTGCAAAATTTTCTCAAAGGTCCTAGGAACATTTTGTTTATTTTGTTCATCTTATTTTGTGTTGAAGCATTTTATGTCTGTGACATTTCCAGGAAGTCAGAAGAATATGATCGAGAAAAATATAGAAGACATGGATTTACTCACCAAAGGGAAAACAATAGGCTCTAAATTCAAGTTCAGTGTAGCTTGGGAAGAATGAATCACAATAAGCAGGAAGCACAAAGTGCTGCTCCTTGGGGATGTCATAGCTTCAGGCTTGAGCTGCCTTGTCTGAAACAGAAATATGGTAGATTAGAGATAGAGGAATTTACTTATCTAACATGAAAGAACTAGGAGGCCCTGTCATGAAGACAACAGTATCCATGGATCTTTTCCACAGAGGAGGGAATGAAAAATATTTAAATGAATTGAGTTTAGAGAGCAATCTCTGCACCAGATCCTTGGGTGAAGAAATGAAAACACAGAAGTGGAGGAGCTGGCTGTCGGGAGTCAGGATGGTACCTGAAAATAGCACAAAGATTGAATCTGTCTGGTGTTTTCTTTCCAAAAGATCACAGCTGCTGGAAACCCTATGGAACACAGTTCTCGGATGGGAATGAGTTACCATAAGTCAGAACTGACTCAACAGGAACATGGTGGTGGTAATGGATGTGAGGGTACATGCCATACATACATAGAGAGGAAGAGAGAAAAGACAAAAAGAAGAGAGAGGGAGAGCAAGAGAGGAAGACTACTCAGTTAGAAATAATCCTAACACCGTGAACTATCTCACATAAGGATTCAAGAACAAGAACTACCTTTGCTACAAGCAATACACTGTGATAGTTTCAATTTTGTCCTATCCTGTATTCTATTTCTATGCTGTCGGTGGTTCAAGCTCACCAGTCACTCCTTGGAAACCCTATACAGGGTCGCTATGGGTCGGAATAGACGGCACTTAACAACAATCCATTAAATTGATCTCTTGAAACAAATTAACAAGCGACAAGCTGATAGTATGAAAAATGTTGAGCTAAACCATAAAATATATGTTATGTGGTATATTATTTTATTATTATTATGGTCAATTCAAATTCCAACTCATATCGACCCTAGAGTAGAGAGTAGAACTTCCTCTAGGGTTTCCAAGGCTATATATCTTTATGGAAGCAGACTGCACATCTCTCTTCTGCAGAGCAACTGGTGGATTCAAACTGTCAACCTTTCAGTTAGCAACTGAGCACTTAACCACTATGCCAACCAAACTCCTATAGTATATACTGTTGTTGTTGTCAGGTGCCATCGAGTCGGAACCGACTCATAGCGACCCCATGCACAGCAGAATGGAACAATGTCCGATCCTGGACCAACCTCACTACCGCTGCCACACTTGAGTCAATCAATGATGCCACCTGGCCAATCCATCTCGTTAGGAGTCTTCCTCTTTTTCTCGGACCCTCCACCTTACCCAGCGTGACATCCTTCTCCAGCGACTGTTTCCTTCAGACAGTATGTCCAAAGTATGAGAGATGAAGCTTAGCCATCCTGGCCTCCAAGGAGCACTCTGGCTGCACTTCTTCCAAAACAGATCTATTGGTTCTTTTGGCAGTCCATGGCATTTTCAGTATTCTCCTCCAACACCACAACTCAAAGGCATCAATTCTTCTACCATCTTCCTTATTCACTGTTCAGCTTTCGCATCCATATGAGGTTATTGAAAATACCATGGCTTGGGTCAGGCACACCTTAGTCCTCAAGCTGACATCTCTGCTCATCAATACTTTAAAAAGTTCCTGTGCAGCAGATTTGCCCAATGCAATACTTCGTCTGATTTCTTGACTGCTGCTTCCTTGAGTGTTGATAGTTGATCCAAGAAGAATGAAGTCCTTGACAACTTCAATCTTTTCTCCATTGATAAGAATGTTGTTTATTGGTCCAGTGGTGAGGAGTTTTGTTTTCTTGACATTGAGATGCAATCCATATCGAAGGCTGTGCTCTTTGATCTTCATAAGTAAATGTTTCAAGTCCTCTTCACTTTCAGCAAGCAAGGTTGTATCGTCTGCATATCGTAGGTTGTTAATGAGTCTTCCTCCAATCCTGATGCCACATTTTTTTTCATAGTAAAGAATACTAATATCATAATATAGGATATGAATATATGTTGATTTGTGCCGTTATCTCTTTATAATGCTGCTGATGAAAACAGTTATTTTTGTATATGTGTGGCCAGATGAATTATTATTGGAATTAAAAAGTAGACTATCACTGGGATTAATTCTAAACCCAGTAAGTATGAGGATCAGGACAAACTACTTTCCTCACTGGCTAAGAGACAAAAGACATGGGTTAGGATACAGGATCATTGTCGTTGCTAAATGGTGTGGAGTCAGTTTTGACTAATGAGTGACTGGTGAGTTTGAACCACCAACCTTGTGGTTAGCAGTCCAATGCTTATCCTTCAGCACCACACCAGGTCTCCAGAAGGCAAGATAATTATGAACAAACTGCACATTCATGAGAAAATAATTTCTCTTCTCTGAGTCCAAGTTTTCCCATGTGGAAATGGGGATAGCTTTACCCACTGTTCTTCTCTCAGAGTTTTATGAGGTTCAAAGGAGATTAGACGTATAGGTGAGAATGCCTTGTAAACCAGGAAGAGCTGCATGGATTTAAGCTGGGGTAATTACCACCTTGTCAGTAGGATCAAGAAGACAACCATCAGGAAGGGCAGTGGTGGCCAAGGCAGTGGAGAGAAGGCCAGGGAGCCTGCCTGAAACAACACACTGATGACAGCCAAGACTTACATGCAGGGGGAACTGCATTTAAATCATCAGCTGCCAGCTGCCTCCTGTTCCTCTTCCTCAGAAGGAAAGAGGGAAGCAAAGGGCCTTGGAAAACTGACCCAATTTGCAATTTTGGCAAGAAAATACATTTTTAAAAATTTGCAATCCAATGGTTTCAGAAGAAAATATTTGCAGTTTAGGTTACAGGAATAGACATTTGTCACCAGATGTGTCTGCTAGAGAGAAATAATGGCAATTCATTGATGAGAGCTCTTTTAGAAGTTTTTCTTCCCTCATTGAAAAGAGGTACATTTTGGGAGGGGTTTGGACAGGCTGGTGAAAGCAACTCTTCCTGACCTGAATCCAATATTTAGGAATCAACTTCACATGTCCCAATGTAATGCATCCTACTAGCTGCTTCCTTATTGGGACAGTTGGTCAAGGGGGTGGGACTTAGAAATTAAGGAACCAATGAGCCTGACCATATTTTTCCACCATTTCCAGTTGTTACCAGCATTTCCTTTTTTGTCAGAGTTAGCAAGAACTATAATGTCCACAATAGTCTGGATCTTTTGTATACCACTAATCTTTTTCCCCTCAAAGATGACAATTCTTAAATTGATTAAATTGTCACTCTTATCTCTGCTGTTGAATTTGATGACAATAAAATCACAAGTCAATAGGAATAGAGACATGGGCAGAATCCTACCTTGGGGCATGTATCCTTTGGACATAGAAGAACAACATGAGCTACATATGGCCATAACTACACGGCAAATGCAAAAGCATGGTGTCCCCACTTGAAAGTAAGAAGAATGCAACCAGTATGGCATAGGCCTGGCCAATTGTAACAGTGGTACCAGCTGATGATCCGCTCAACTTTGGCCATGTTACTATATTTTGGGAGAGATTCTAAGACAAACTCTTCTTATTTACATAAATCCCTCACACAGAGCTGTTCTTACTGATGACGGAGCTAACCAAAACCAAACCCAACTAAGCGACCCTTTAGATTAGAGTAGAATGTCCCCATAGGGTTTCCAACGCTATAATCTTGATAGAAGCAGACTGGCACATCTTTCTCCTGCAGACCACATGGTGGATTTAAAGTACTGGGATTTCGGATAGCAACCACGTCGTTTATTGGCTACTGGGAAAATTAATCCATACTTATCCAGTTAAAAGTACAGAGCATCCTCCTACATTAAAGGAAATGTATCATCAGAATCAGTATTCATCAGCTCCGACTCACTGTGACCCCACGTGTGTCAGAAGAGAGCTGTGCTTCGAAGAAGATTGTTAGGCCTAACTTCCAAGAAGCCTCTGGATGGACTTGAACCTGCAACCTTTTCCTAAGCTTGTGTACCACCTACGACTCTGTGGTTTCAGTCGTTGCTGTTAAGTGTTGTCGACTCAGCTCCAACTCACAGTGACCCTGTATAGGGTTTCCAAGGGACGGCTGGTGGGTTTGAACTTTTTGAGTTATCAGTCCAGAGTTTATCATACAGCACTACTTCAGTAAGGGCCCCTTTCACTTTAAATCCCTTAGAAGTTCATATTTACTCTAAAATCTTGGAGTAAAAGGCAGATAGACAAAGACAGAAACAAACAGAGGCTGAGAGAAAGAAAACTATCTGATGTCATTCCCAATTTCTTTCCTTATTTAAATGCAAATCCTACTAAAACTTACAAATTTGTATGAATCGGCTGTATCTTAGGCATAGCTGGGAGAGATGACCTAATCCTTAATATTAACCCTGTGGTGCTGAGCAACTTCCTTGACTCCTCTGGCTATTTTCCTGTCTGTTAAGTTAGAAAAGAGGGAGGGAAAACAAAGCATGCCCTGACATCATTTGCCAGGAAGGAGTTGTTGGGATTCTCAGCAGTGTCAGATCTTGAGGATGAAGGGTCTGAGCTCCTTGAAGCATTCAATAATAACTTTATTTTTCAGCCTGATTATACACTAGGAAGTAGCAAAATGAATATGGCCTGAAACACACACCAGGGGTTAAGATCAGTTCCTCTCTTGAGACATTCCATTGGTCCTGACCTGCCAAGATGTTTTGGGAGGATGAATGAATGGAAGGGAGTAGATGAGTCTGTGTGCTTTGCAAGGTTGAAAACCTGTTCACAAAACTGTTCCATCTGATGACCCAGTCTTATCATCAAGTTGTGTATCTTAAGTTCTTTCCACAAAGGACAAGAGTGGAACTCTTTGCAGAAATGAGTTAGCTCTTGTGCTGCTCTGCTCTCTGGGATCCTCGGCCCACTCCCCACTGTGAAGCCTAGCCCTTGGGTCCTCCTGGGATGGTAAGAAATTAAAATGATGACAGCCTAAGCTCCATCAGCCTCTACCCGGATACTTCTTCCTCCAATACTCTACTCTGCTCTTGGCACCAGCCCAGCACATATCCCTCCTACACTCTACCACCCTGGAAGCAGTCCTGGTGCGGTGCTGTGGGTTAATGCACCAGACTGCAAAGCCATTTGAACTGT